TGATCTGCAAAATTTGTGGCTTATGTTCAGTTCAGGTTCATTGAACCTGAACCCTATATTATTAAATATAATAAATTTGACCTCTATGACTGTCACACTTCTCTACAATCACCCATTTTTGTATCCCAAGTGTGTGATTATAGAGAGGTTTGACTGTAGTTTGTTTTTTTTAAAAAATATACAGTACTTATAAAAAAAATGTGCTTATATAGGAGGTGACTATAGAGAGGGTAGACTGTATTTGATATATTGATATTGATACGGCTAAAATTTTGTCCTGGAAAAAGCGGCATGGACGCGTGCATGATTTTTTTTTATTTGAAATTAAAGGTATTAACTAATAAAAAACATTTTTCAAGACGTGTACAATAAAATTCTTTTTTCAACCATTTGTGATAAAGTTATATAATATTAAATATGTAAACTCAAGGGACTAAAGACCTATCCGAAATAGATTTATTAAAACTAGAAAATGACAGGCTTATAACTAGAATCGCAGAACTAGAATAAATAGTAAAAGAAAAAAATATTATCGATTTGCAAACCAAAGATGTTTTAGCATCCGACATGGTTAACTGTTAAGCTAATTATCATTTGTTAAAAAGAGAAATGACGCCCGTGAACGTTATTTCGCGTTTATGTGACAACATATTTAAATAATATAATCCCACTTAATAATTTCAATGCGTGCGTACGCGATTAAAATTATCTGTAACAGTGCATTTATTATTTTAACAATCTAGTAGCCCATAAAGTTTTAAATTCGATCAAGGTGCGATTTGGAACTGACTTGGTAACAAAATAGTTGGTTTTAAATAAGTAGAGAAATATAAGCTAATGCAGCACTCAGTTTTCACGGTAAAGATGGGAATATACAAAATATAATTTTACCAAAAAAAAAAAAAGATAATCAAAAAAATTGCATCTTAATGAGCTGCGATAGCGATAGGGTATGAACTCTCCGTTCCATTTTTGATATTATTTCCTACCATGGTTTCTAATTCAATATCTGTACCGTTTTCTCTCCACCAAGCACCGACAATTGCGGATTTTTCAACCTGTTCATCATCATTTATAGAAACTCGTAAATGTCTACCTTCTTCCTTATTAATACCAGGTTCGCACCCTTCATTCATATTATCATCCCTTTTTCTTTCACTATCGACATCTATAGAACAAATATATCCACCAGTAAAATTTTCATCATTGGTCCGTTTGATCATATCAACACCTTCTTTAGCGAAAAAAATACCAAATATTAAAGCTGCTGCAGAATCAGTCCACCACAAATTTACCCAAATCATATAAATCAAACTACTACAAAAAAGTACAGCGGTAATCTTAATACAAGCCAATGAACATTGAGAATCATATAACATAGTTGAAGAATTTAACTTTATAGCCAAATATCTTTTAAAAGTATACACTATTAACATGAGTAAGATTGATAAACTGGAAATTATTAAACCCGCAGTTGTGTTCTCAGGATGGTTTTTCTGCGTTAATGTAATGACTGAATGTAATAATGTCCCAATAGCTAATATAACGAATAAACCACCAATACCTAATGTTCCTTTTCTCTCATATTCAACTAATTTTTGATCATTTTCGAGAGATGTATAAGAAGTAGAAACTGAAGAATTAGAAGCAGCGGAGATAGTAGAGACGGAAACTTTGACAACATTTTGTCGAAGTTCAACAGTGAAACGCCATAAGACTAATATTGAAGAAGCTGTCTCAACAAATGATGCGATACCAAAAATAACTAAACTAACTGATCTTGTTTGTTGGCCAAAGATCATCGAAAATACACCTTCAGTTATGTTCGAAATAATTGTTATAATACTAACAACAATTGCAAATTTAATTAATCGCGTTCTGTTGAATCTTATGGATTGGATTTGTGCCATGATTATTATTTACGCACACACGATAAACAATAGCAATGGTAATCAAAGCATGAGAGCTTATATCTATTTTGAATAAGAAGAGGATATGATACAAGCCCAAAGATCAAG